ACAATTGATGAACAAAACTTCCAGTATGAATACCTTTCAATCGGGTATATAACTTCATAAAACATTTGCCGAAAATAACAGGATTTTAATTAGTAAATGGTTCGTTTCGCTAATTACAGATAATCGGAAATCTGGTTACTGGTTACAAAATATTGTTATTTTTGGCAAATATTTTGTAAATATTGTGCATATAAAACCCATTTTCTCTGATTACAGTTTATTTTTTATCATGTTTGTCATCCTGTTTCATTTCATTTCATTTTGTTTTGTTTCTTCGATTACAATAAGCCTTGAAATGGTATATATACCCTCGAATCCTTGTGCACAAGTTCATTCATTCTACGGTAACCCTTAGGCCAATGATATATCACATTGCAATTCAATTACCAAGGTTGCAATAATATCATCTTTAGAGAAACAAGTAATATTATGAGGTTATCACGAGGATGCCTCAAAGTATGCACAAAGACAGTACAGTGGGAGTATCGACCAACGTGCATCACAGGTCTATGCGATAGCGTACTGTCTGAGTGCATATTTTGAGGTATCCTCATAATAACCTTATTATTATACATCTTTTCCTACCAAGAATACATCATAGGAATGCCAAAATTCAAAACGTTTAGAACAGATTTAGCGAACTTCTTTGTGTGAGGTCCAGTCAAACCCTGGTGGTAGCCATGTTTGTCTTTGTTTTTAGAGGACGCTTACACGCGTAATCGTTTCATATTTGGAATTCGCATTTCCTAAAATGGTAGGATGAAAATACCCAGTGCAATACAGGACAATTATGACTCGCTGTAACTTATAGCGTTTTAGTGACAGATGTATAATAATAGTTTATAATTTTATTATTTTGAACTTTGGGTAAGGAAATGGAGATATTTGGTAGAATTTGTTTCAAGGGTTTGTTTGTTTTTTCTGTACATTTTAATTTTTTTGAGTGTGCCAACAATTTTCCCTGCAACATTTTTGCATGCATTTTTTTTTCTTGGTGTCTAGCTTTAATACATTTGTTTATTTAAAACAAAATTTTCGGCCACTCACCATGATTTTAAATGTTCGAACCTTAAATGAAAGTAACAGTTATGCAAATTAAATACTGTCACAGTTTAAGTACCTACAATATACTAAAATTAAACTGATGGAATATAATTTTAAATAGATTTAAGTCATAGTAGTTTATTGAAGTTATATTGGTATTGACATTTCAATAGTTACACCAACTTGATTAGCTTAGTATTTACCATGACATGGTCGGCAACAGTTATTGTGTCCTGACCAACAGATTCACTTGGATGCAAAATATGAGTCAAGTGAATCAGTCATCTAGAGTGCAATAACTATTGCCAACCAAGTCAGACTAGATATAAACTATATTAATAAGTACACTATCATGTTTGCTTTATTAGAAGTGCATATAAATAAAAAATTATGGAATTATTATGGAATAATTTACTACAGTTTACTCAAGTGCATTTTTCCATGTTTTAATAAAATACAAATCATTCAGTAGATGTGTTTCTATGGAAATTTATAATAGGGCAAATATGGTATATTGTTTTAATTTTAGAGAATATTTGATATTATATAAAATATGTAACCTATAATCATATGGATCAAAATCTAATTCTCATAATCATGATATGGATCAAAATCTAATACTCATAATCATGATATGGATCAAAATCTAATACTCATAATCATGATATGGATCAAAATCTAATTCTCATAATCATGATATGGAACAAAATATTATACTCATAATCATGATATGGATCAAAATCTAATTCTCATAATCATGATATGGAACAAAATCTTATACTCATAATCATGATATGGATCAAAATCTAATTCTCATAATCATGATATGGAACAACATATTATACTCATAATCATGATATGGATCAGAATCTAATACTCATAATCATGATAT